GCAGGAACCAGTGCAGTTTCAGGCATCAGAGCAACAGCAACACTGACTTCTCTTTGTTCTGGATCCTAAGCCATAATGGCAAGGGACTACCAGAAAGTCGGCTTTGACAGCCCAACGCCTCCCCCAGCTGCAGATTTTCCAGTCTTGGTTCTAAAGTGGGATGAGCTGTGTCACAGAAACCACATTCAAGAGAAACTTCACCCACCTGTTAGACGTCAAAGTTCACAGGAAGGCACCCTGCACTTGCTCCCTCACAGACTGCATCCAGAAGGTTATACTCAGACATATCCAGACTACTGCTGCCGAGATGTTTTCAATGTAACAGTGACATTTCAACCGCCTCCTCCTACTCTACTGACCTTACGACCGTAAGTTCGATGTGAGGACTAATCCTGTCTGAGGAGCACGGCCTTCACTCTAAGCAGCTGGCTTCTGTGCCATCAGAGAGTATGGCTGAGTGCACAACACACTTGTGAAAGAGCCTCTTACTTAAGCCTTTTTTCTTGTGCTTTCTGTCCTGTTCTCCATCAATCAGCAATTATCCCAACTCCCTTCCCACCGTACCAAGCCCGATGACGTGTCCCAACACTGGACACCAACCAAGACCTCACAAAAAAAAATTCAGAATCTCTGAAGAGTAAAAGGGACAAAAAGGGCAAAATGACCATTGTCTTGTTCCTTTCTGAATTCAAAGTTTACAATGATAATTTGCTAGAAATTATGCTGCCTTTTAGCCCCCAGAATGGAAGTTTAACAAAATTCACTGCAACTAAATGATAAACTCCATCCTGTTGAGTCTATTATAAAGATATTAAAGTAACATGTTTTCTTTGCTCCAGTCCCATGAGCATGGACACAGAGTCACTCAAATGATTTGTTCCATAGCAAAAGCACTGCTTTATCTGGCCATGCTCAGTGATGCTCTGGATCCTGCTGTTTATTTATGAGAGGTACTGGAAAGGAGCTGGAAAAATAACTTCTTAGAAACAGAAAGGATGAGAGGACACAACAACTGGTTGTGAAGAAAAGGTGGGAACATCTTTCCCATAATCTTTAAAATCAGCCTCATGCACCCAGCTGTCTCACAGAATAGAATTTGAGGTTTGGGAATGAATTTAGAGTCATTCGTTCATTGGACTCATCCAACAAAGATTAATCAGAAATTACTGTACACCAGACAATGTGCTTGGAACTGGGGATACAAAAA